GACATCTTAAGTAGTCAATATACTAAAAAAAGACAATCAGCAATGGATCAGTCCTTGTTTATAAATACAGCTATATTATAAACCATGAATTACTTAAAATTGTGCAAAGAAGAGATTTCAAATGCATATTCTAGCCTTGGACTCTGGCAATATATTTAAGTTCTGCTGAAATTCAGGGTATTTGGAAGACCATTTTAGGAAGCCTCTCTAATGAAGTATTTGGTATGAGACAGGGCCCTTTCTGGACCCTGTCCAGGACATCTAACTATCAGAGGTATGGATGGATCTCACGTGAAAGTTTAATTTGTAAAGAGATGGTTTTGGTTGGCACCTAAAGATGTGTTGACATAAAACACATAGAACTGCTTTACTGTAAGCCATGGGTAAGAAAAGCCTAATTCACAAAACAAATGAGTGCATGATTCCACTAACTTTGTATGGTTGATATAGTATATTTTGGGAAAAACATCTACATAAAGCAGAGAAGTACACCAGTAGTATAATTTTAACTTGCCTTAAATAGACATAATCTACTTACACGTTGTCACCTCTTACGATGTACAATCCTAGTACCACTTGCTCTACTCCCTGTGAAGAGCTGAATACTCGTTCATGGCTTTCATCCAAAATCAGATTAATGGTCTGGTCAAAACCTTTCAGTGTTCCCTGTAAAGAAAACATCCAAGGGCAAAAGGGAAATATTTGGGTTTACCTGAATGTGTAAATTCAACCTTACAACCATTTTAGTTGTCAGGTACTCCAACGGAAGTACCGATTTTAAATACAACTCCACTCTCAAATAAAATGCCTTCTTTATAACCGACGGTATTCCAGGGCACAAAACCTACCTGTTGGTTGTTTAAAGGAGGGAAAAAAACCTATACCACATATCTGACTAGTATGTAGAGTTGTTGAGAGTTACAAAGAGCATCTATGTATACTAGTGTGAGTATTTCCAAGTATCATAAAAGCTCTTGTCATCCAGGAGCTAACATTCTAAGGACATAAAATAAAAGAAGGGAAATTTAAGGGAAAATGATATATAAACAAGGAGAAACCCTACATACCAACTATAGCAATGTAACACTTTCACTGCATGCTATTATATATACTAGTACTAGGCAGTTTGTTAGATATACTGCACATGTTATCACAACTAATCTCTACCCTTCAAGATAATACAATAATTATCCCCATTTCAAAGAAGAAAAACTAAGGAGCAGAGAATTTCTCTCATGGTCTCATGAAAAGTGAACAGCAGAGTCAGGATTTAAACCACAAAACGCCAGACTACTGAATTACTACATTATACTATTAACACTATAAACAAGTAAATATAATTTGCCATTTTTCGAAGATTCCAATTAGTACCATAAATACATAAAAACTTCAACTGGGGGCCGGGCGCTGTGGCTCACGCCTGTAATCCTAGCTCTTGGGAGGCCGAGGCGGGCGGATTGCTCAAGGTCAGGAGCTCAAAACCAGCCTGAGCAAGAGCGAGACCCCGTCTCTACTATAAATAGAAAGAAATTAATTGGCCAACTGATATATATATAAAAAAATTAGCCGGGCATGGTGGCACATGCCTGTAGTCCCAGCTACCCGGGAGGCTGAGGCAGAAGGATCACTGGAGCCCAGGAGTTTGAGGTTGCTGTGAGCTAGGCTGACGCCACGGCACTCACTCTAGCCTGGGCAACAAAGCGAGACTCTGTCTCAAAAAAAAAAAAAAAAAAAAAAAACTTCAACTGGTAGTTACAGATAATACTTAATGAGTACTTACTAGTTGCCAGTATTCTGTTTCTCACATGTGTTTATTATTTAATGTGTATCACAGGTATTTATTATTTAATTCTCCCAATAACACAGGAAGGTAGATGCAAATATGACTGTAACAATTAGAAACAGAACTTGAAAAAAAATAATCAGCAAAAGTTTTATGAAAGCACCTTGGTTTTGAATAAAGGAAGACATGGGCCTTGCATAACATGGTAACTCAGGTTCTATGCAAGTTTCTGAAGAAACAGCAGCATATATTGCTTTGGGCTGGTTAAATGTCTCAAGATTACTGTTAAACTATTTAATGTACTGAAAATCAAAATATATAAAATCAGAATGAAATAAATAGAAACCCAGAACCCAAAATTAGGAAGAGAAACAAAATATGGATCATTTACTATACTTGTAAACAAATGGGTGTTACCATAAACATCCATACATACCCTCTTGGCTTCATTTTACACATAACTATTTCATCAAGTAAACTTTGTCAAAGAAACACAGAACTATTGAACTTTAGTACTCAAGATACTCTTTTTACATCGCTTTCTTTCTCTATAAAATTAAAAATAATTCTCCAGTTTACTATCTATCCTCTTAATGAAAACAAGAAAATGTAAACTTAAGGTTTATACAAAATAAAAAATTATTTGCAAATATCTGTTAAGAGCAATAGGCTTCCTGAAGTGTTAAGATTAAAATATTTCAAACTGCCCATATTTGACAAAATAAAATGTGAGGTACCTAAAAAAAAACCATTGCTTCTTTAATTAAGAAAGAAACAAGGTAACTGGCTTTGGTTTTAGAGTCAAACTCAATTTGAATTTTAGTTTGGTTCTGCCACTTGTTATCCTTGTGACTCTAGGAAAGTGACTCACTTTCTCTGAACTTGGTTCCCAACACAGAATATAGGGGTAATTCTTCACAAGGTTGTACTATAGATTAAATAATATAACACAAATGTGCCTAGTATATGATATACATTTAATAACTTTGACTAATAATAGTCATTAACAACCCAGTGGGGAAAATATCACAAACAAGGATTAAAAAGAAAACAAACAAAATTGAAACTGCAGAATGGAATGATAAGGGATTAAATTATCTTAAGACATTAGGTAAGGTTAGAAAAGAAGAGAAAGTTTAGCAGCCTTAAAACTTTTTTAAAAGCAATCACAATAAAAATTATAAATGAAGAAATAAACAAGTAGCCAAAAACATGAGATAAATTCCTCAGATCAAATTCAAAATACAAATATCAGCCATAGGAGGTTTTATCTTTGTTGTAGAGGTAAATTAGCAACTGAGAAATGCCTTTAAAGGAGGTCAATGATATATATAAATTTAGAGTCAATCATCATCAAATGTCCTACTGAAAACATAAGTCATTAAACCTTAAAATAGTCAAAGAATATTAAGACCATACAAGCCTTAAACACTCATATATATGTAGTATCTACATCATAAAAAAGTTTCTAAGTATACAAAAATTTTCAAAAAATTATGATTCATGTGGCAAATGTCAGGGCACTGAAAGGGGAAGAAAATAAAAAATGGAAGAGTAAGATAAATACGTTTGAAATACAGACCTGCAGACTTGACTAAGAGCTCTCTAAGGGCAGAACCTATTATTCTAGCTCTTAGAAGCCTTTGAAGTGACAAATTTATTAATGAAGAAAATACAGATTGGCAGCAAAGCAGTAAGAGCTGAATCATAATAAAACTGCAATACAGGTACTGTGGTGCCTAGGCATTAGAGAACTTAGATTCGACATAAAAATTTATAAACAACAAGGCTACAAGAAAGCAGAGAATGAAAATGCCAAAGACTTACCACAATCATTCTCCCATCAGAAGTAATAACAGCAACAGTTCCTGATAATTGAATCAAGGAAAATATTTCTTAGAGAATGTGAACTGAAAATTTAGACTCTGGTAAGGGAATGAGTTGAAAGTAAGTGACAGAATTATGGTAAAAGTAATCAACGCAGCCACTACATTCCCGGCATAAAAACTGTTTCTAACTACTTCGTCCTTGTGATAATTACACAATTAAAAAATGAAAAAGAAAGATAAAGGAAGTCTTTCTGTATGTGATCAGTGTAACCTGTCTCAAACAGCTTGGATTTTTGGAACTTTTTTTTAAACTAGGAGTGTTGACGGTCTATGACTTTGGGCAAGATATTTCCCCCATTCTTGACCCCATTTCTGTATTTCTAAAATGAAAACTGGATAAATGCTATCAATGTTGGATAATTTCAGGCACGTTAACACAGTTTCAGGACCTGGCTTCTAGAATTCAAAATAAAAAAACCTATAATCAATGTCACAAGGTACCAATAACGCTTGCATAATTTAAAGCTTTCGGTATTTAATTTTTGTTCCCGATTTGTACATAAAAACAATGTAGTGTTTTTGTCCTGAGGCTTTAAAACGGTAACATTTGTACTTTAAAACTCCACGTGGGTTTTTATGTTACTTGCCCCTCACTATAACCCATTACCACAGCAAGCATTATTTTCATTCTATCAACACGTTGAGACTTCAAGTAGTAAAGGGCAGAAATTCAATTTGTGAAACATCTTTAAAGTTTTTGCTATCCTTGAACAATGAACAAAGCCTGTGAATAAAACAAGTACACAGATTTACAGAACCACTGTCGCCACTATGGCAATTGTTCATCTTATAGCCAAAATTGAACACAGAGGCCCTTGGGAAATAGTAAAAATGAATCATGAGCATATTTTTTCATAGAGAGTAAAGTTCGGAATAATTACACTGGGTTCTTACTTTTATTTTTTCAGGATAAAATTAAGGAGCCTTGAACCCGGACTGGCTGCTCCCAGGTCCTCCTCCCCTCACCCGCTCCCGGATCCCGCCGTGATCGGTCGTCCCAACGGCCCACCGAGCCCGGCCTCTCCCGCACCCGTCCCGCTCCAGGGCGGACGCCAGCCTTGCCGCTGCCCCGGCTAACGCCCGCGCCGGCCAGCCGGAGGATACGGTTGATGTAGTTCTCCAGGGCGGACGTCATGCTGCTCGGCCCGGCAAATCCGGGTAACACAAGAACCAGCTACAAGTAGAGCTGAAAGGGCCCGCCAGAAACACACAGACGCTCGCGCCTGTTGGCGGCAGCAATCATCGCGAGAGTTGCCGCACCACAGTGAGTCGGAAATAGAGAAGAACGGGCCAACCGAGCAGAAGCAGCGACTCGGTGACGAGTGAGTGCGCGTGCGCACTGTTATTCTGGGCGGGGAATCTGGCAGCCGCGAGGGACAAAGACCAGTAAGAGACGGAGGAAAGGAAGAAGCTTCCTGAAGGTGGAGTAGGAGGGAGAAGTTGGAAGGGCGACTTTCTTAGCCAAGTGAAAGGCAGTGTGGTAGAAGTTAACGAGGGAAAATGTTGCGAAAAGACAGGGCAGGTAGAAAGAAATGGAGTAGTGTTTTCATTATGAGTAGAGGAGAAGAGAGATGAGTGCTGTTTTAGTATGAAATGTAGGTGCGGGCAGAGGAATCTTTTTTTTGTGCAGCACGTGACGAAAATAAAACCAAAAAGAAGGTAAATGGGGAGGAACAAAGGTTGTGTTGTAACCACACGGTGTATGACCGTGGAGAATTCAACTGAAAAGCATGTTCGTGTATTCTGTATTTGTTTCTAAAAGTGCTCCAAAGTGGAGGGCATTGTTACTTCTTTAAGAAGTTGAAGCCGAAAATCTTGGGAATAAGCACCAAATTGGGTTCTAATCTTGGCCCTGCTAAAAAAATTGTCCTTACACAAAAGTCATTTATACTCTTCTGGGCCTCAGTCTCCTTAACTTCTGTTACAACTCTCATTTTGGATTTTTCCGGATATCCAAACAGCACTAGAAAACGTCACAGTTCCTCATTTTACTGTGGTGGCCTAACTTAAAAAGGCTTAAAGTTAGAGATTTATGCACAAAACACAATCAGGAGCGATTTCCTTTTTTTTTTTTTTACAAAATATCTTTATAATTTCAGTTAGGCTTGTAATTTCTTAGGTAAAAAATTATGGCTTTGAAAAAACTTGCAGTGTCAGCAGTTTTCCTCTGAAAAGTGAAGAATCTCTTTTCATTAGAGAATACTCACAAAACTACCTACAAGATAACTCCCAAAAGGTTAATATTTTATATAGTGAAACTTGTTCTGACCTATTTGAAACCACAAACAGGAATTAGGTTGTGAGTGCCCTGTATTTTCTGGGAAGCAAATAAAAGTATCTTCCATAGATGAAAAAATAAATATGTGATTTGCAGATTTTCGGTGTTGCCCCAAAAGAAAACTAAGTGCTAATTAATGATCAGCGAGGTACTGTTAATAAGGAGTTAAAAACAAAAAAAACACCTGTGTGCCACCTTTTTAGAATGGTCTATATAGTTTTTCATCCCTTAGAGTGTGCTTGTTTTGAAAATATTTGTTGGTGTGACATTATGTGGTAATTTAGATAACTGATTTCATCATAAATACGTTACAAGTATGTACTTATATAGTTTCCCTTAAATTAATATGTTAGGTAAATAGCAGATATGTAGTGGTTATGGAGCATCACAAAATCTCTTTGGTCTGAAAATATTTTTACGTGTGACTTAAAAACTGCTATATTTTCTCTAGTCCCTAAGGATCACAGATATAGAGAGAAACCCCATGGATAAAGAAAATTTCATTTATTAAGACAAAAAATAAGTTACATCTGGATGCAAACATACATATGTGATTTATCTAATTAGCGTGTGATCTTTGGAGTACATGAACATAGTTTAGCATTTCATAAAGAATTAAGTTAAAGCTCCAACAGAGAAAAACGGATATAGATATAGATATACACATATATATAAAAACATCTGACAACTAAAAAATTAAGAAGAGGTACAATGAGACTTTCAGCTTAATACAAATCAAAATCTCTCAAAAGTACTACTTATTTAAATAATATTCTATCACTGATAAAGCATCAACGAAAGTATGCTTGGAAGAGACACTCATTTTATTCCATTACTTCTGAATCTAGATTGTGAGCAGAAAACATCAACCTGAAGGATCAGACTCCTACTAGAATCTGAGGAAACTTGTCGTTTCTCTGTGAATAATTCCTGAAAAACTATCACAATAGTTATTTGAAAATTAAAATAGTATTTTTCACCTAATATGGAAACTTTTATTTACTTCTATTTTTGACTGATTTATAGTCCTGCAAGTTACAAAGGGTATCAACCAATCAGTAATATGTGTTGAGTAGATCTACATAGGGTTCTCCTAAGCAGAAAAGGATACATTAATATATAAATTGTGGTCTCTCTTTACAAGAAAATTCCTCAATAGTTAACAGAGCTTTACTTATAAAGGTGATGTAATTAGTGCATTGAAAAAATATCTCAAATTATAAATAAAAGTAATTGTATGGAAATCTTAGTTTATTTAACACCATAGATTACAAAGTGCTTTTCATATATTTAATTTAGTATAATAAAGACAGGTATTTTTAATTCCATTTCTTAAGGGATGGAAAAAAATATAACCGACTTGTTCATTGAAAAGTAGTTTAGGATCATGATGGAGAACATTGACTCAGGAACTGTCTGGATTTTGATTCTGTATGACTTTAAGCAAATTAATTAACCTTCTATGCCTCTGTTTCCCCATCTGTAAAATGGAGAAAACAATGGTATTTACCTCATCAGCTTTTGGGGAACTAAAAGTAATTCTTATAGAGCATAGCATATAATAAGCACTCAATAAACATTAGTTGTTGTTATTCAAGAACATAGTCTACATCATAGGTAACCTTTTCTTAGTCACAAAGCTCATTCCAATACAATATTTTGTTCAGTGCATTTTTTATGATCAAATTGGGCTGTACACATTTTAAGTGTTTAAGGAAGGGGAATATGGATATGAGTTAGAATCTTGGAAGATTTCACAAAAAAGGTAAGACCTAAATTGGGGCTTGAGAAAAAGTACACAAACACTTTTGGGAAATAACCTAACATTAATATATGGTGGAGGTAGGAACTGAAGATAATAAGGCTAGGAAGAGTCCAGGTGTATCTGATTTGTAGCAGTAAAAATGAAAAGGCAGAAACAATATCATTAAAAGAGGTTAAGAAATTAACCTCTGCAATTGTGAGGCAGATATCAAATCCTGGGTGGCATAGTATTAATAGTAGTGGTTAGTGAATCAAAAGGATAGGAAGAGTAGGGAAACGCAGGAAAAGATACAACTGCTTGTATAAAAGTAGATAGGGCCATTTGGTAGAACTGTGTAAACATGACTTAACGTTGCTCACAGCCAGTGGTGAGGCCACAGAACATACTGGTTATACTTACAGTGGCATATGCTTTACCTTAAAGGTCTGGAGAACCCAGTCTATCTCTAGATTCCCACTGTTTCAGTTTATAAAAGGTAACAAGTATTAATAAAATATACTTAAATATACTTTTATGCAATCTATATAGTATTTTTAAGTTTATTTAAAAATTTTTTTTTACCAACATCTCCCCAAATCCTCCCCTCTTTTACATTATTTTTATTTTAGAAACCGTCTTACTCTATTCAGGCTGCTAAAACAAAATACCTTAGACTGAGTAATTTATAAACAACAGAAATTTATTTCTCAGAGTTCTGGAGCCTGAAAAGTCTGAAATCAAAGTGCCTGCTAGTATCTGGTGAGGGCCTGTTCCTTGTAGATGATGACTTCTTACTGCATCCTCACATAGAGGAAGGGGGCAAGGCAGCTCTTTTCAACCTTTTTGTAAGCTCCCTAATTCCCTGCTCTCATGACTTAATTCTCAGAAGACCCTCACCTCTTAATACTATCATATTGGGTTTTAAGTTCCAACTTATGAATTTTGGGAGAACACCAACGTCCAGAATATAGCAGAAACTAAAAACGATAATATGAATATTCAGAACATATGAATTCTGACTATAATATGTACATTCCTGAAAATACATTAAAAAAGAATGGCTTACTTAAAGTAATAGAACTTAAGTTAAAAATAGGTGGGAAAGACCTCTCAAAACCTGAACAACTGAGCAGTCGTTCTTGAACTTTGCTAGTAGCTCACTATTACCAGCTGGGGATCTTTGAAAACTGATACTTGGCTCCCACACTCAGACAATCTGAATTAAATGGTATGAGGGGAGAAGCTGGTTCTCAAGATTCTAAGACATCCCTAGGTAACTAATCATAGTAAAATTTAGGAACCACTGAACAGCATTAGCAGACACAGTAATCTAAATGATTATGAATGAAAATGAAAATACTAGCTCATTTAATAGAACATAAAATTTATTGCAAAGAAATGCTATGGTAACTTAGAGTTTTACATTTTTTAAAAAGTTGAAGTTAGCTTAAAGAATAACAGTTTAGGTAGATACTGATGAGTGATGGAAACAATGGCAGCAGAACATCACCACCAGAAGTTGCAGGTAGAGAAGCAGTCACAAACTGCAGGAAATTTAGAAATGCCAGAGATAGATGATTCTGACTCATTGATGTTTCTTTTGTGCAAGGATCTAAAAGGACTGCAAAATAAGCACTATCAAAATGGAGCACATGGCTGAACCAAGTCCAAGAAAGAACAGGATGTCACACAGTAAAGAATGTTAGTACTGGTTTTCTTCAGGTCTGGTACAATCATGCAACCAGCTGCATTGCTTGTACTTCAGCTATTGTGTCTTCATAGCACAAGACATTAAAATACTAAGAAAAGTCTGAACCAACCCACCTTCCATCACTATTCTAACATTACTTCCCTATTTAACAATCACATGTGAGTTGATATGTATTAGAAAAAACAGTACTGTAGCATAATAGACTTGGTTAATATTCCACTGAGAATCTGGACTTTAAATATGGCTAGTCTGCCCTTATTTTTCTTACCTTCTCTTATGGGTCATACTCGTTTTAGCACCAGGTAATTTTTTTACGTAGGCAGTTCTTACACTTCTGACTTTACCTTAGAAGGGTACTTGAATTCATATGACTTGGGGCAGCTTTATTTAGACAGCATGCAGAGTAGATGACTAATCCAAAGTAGCACCCACACCTGAACATTTTCAATACTTTTTAAACTCATTCCTGAGTAGTATAATCCACAATGAAGGAATAGATTGATTTGGACTTGTTACTAACATTATATAGCAAGAGAGAACAAAGCTAATTTATTGATTTCTTTAGCGAAAAATACTGAGGTTAGGGTATGAAGGATATATAATGTGAGAAGGTACAGAAAGATAAATGGAGTGATGAGAGCGAAGTATAAGAATAATGACAAAATCTAGGCATAAGTAACTTCAAGTCAGTAATTAAAAGCAAATAGCTGAAATTCCATTAAAACACACATGGGGCAGAAAAAAAATGAAAAAAATTATCAAAGCTTTACCATTTCTAATAGGTTCTTATTATATAAGTTTTGTTGTTTTGTTTTTGTAACTAAAAGAGAATTAGTCTCCCACCTACACCCTTTTTCTTTCACACCATGGATCATAGATATTTAGAGCTAAAAGAGAACCCAGAAATTTCCATGTCCATGTTCCTC